TTTTCTTTCTACCATCCACCGTCAGCCATATCTAAAATATCGTTGTGCGTGGAGGTTGGGTTGAGATCTTTGGTTTAAGCGGTCACACTTTACCTATTTTTACAAACGAAGATGGTAACTTTTCGTCGACGGTTAATGGACGGCCGTTTTGCCTGACCGGCGGTATGAAAGCCAACTCGAGATTTTGTCACTCCCAAGACTACCCCCAATGTCCGCCATGCTTTCAAAAACACACCTTCCTTCCTTTCTTCTCAGTCTTCCTTCTCAGTTCTCTTTTCCCGCTCAATAAGCCTTCGCTGGGGAAACAAAAAACAAAAAAAAAAAACAAACAAACATAAAATCTAAAAGCAAAGCAAAGGTCATTTGTTTTGTTTTTCTCACAATTCTCTTAATTCTAAGTCGCTCGCTTGCAATTTTCAAAATCCTTCCCCTCCTTTATCCAATTTCTTCAGTTATTTTCTCTTATTTTATGAAGTTTCTTCTCTGAATTGGCATTTTTTTTCGCTATTTTTTTTCTTCTTTCAGATTTTGGGGTCGAAAACAAAGAAATATCGGAGATTTTGACAAATAACTAATTACAAAACAATTTCCTTTCAATTCCAGCAAGCATCACTGATTTGTTTTTTTATGGTTTATCAACCTTTTGTAAGTTATTTAATGCCAGTGAATATATTGCAAATATGAATGCTGGTCGTGGGTAAAATTGTAAAGATTTGAAACTTTTTTCCATTTTAATGAAACATACGTTAAACACTTACATCGTTTTCTTTCTTTCTTTTTTTATTTTCTTTCTTTCTTTCTTTCTTTCTTTCTTTCTTTCTTTCTTTCTTTCTTTTCCTCAGTGAAACCCAGTAGCATCTTTAAGATATCTTTTGCCTTCTTACGCGATCAAAATGGAATTTTTGAGCTATTAGCAGAAGACATTAAACACTTCTATCTATCTATCTATCTATCTATCTATCTATCTATCTATCTATCTATCTATCTATCTATCTCAGTCTGTTCATATCTATCTATCTATCTATCTATCTATCTATCTATCTATCTATCTATCTATCACAGTCTGTTCATATCTATCTATCTATCTTTCTTACTTTTTTCCTTCATTCTTTTATGTGCTAATACCCTTGGGAAAGGTATAAAATTTTCTTCTTCTCCCCCCCTGAGATAAATAGCAGGAGAGACCGGGTTCTATACCCTTGGATGGCAACCGGTCTACCGCAGAAACAAGTGGCAATCTATTGCCAGAAAAAAATCTGCCTCATCAGTTATGTATCGAAAGATACATGATCGCCTAAGCGTGTATCACGCATGTCACATACCTGATTGATATTCACTTACGTGCTAATAATCTTGGGAAAGGTATGAATCCTCTTCTCCCCCCCCCCAGCTATGGGTAAATAGCAGGATGGTAACTGGCCTACCGCAGAAAGAAATTAATTTAGGTGCTAATATCCTTGTGAAAGGTATGAGTCGTCTTATACTTCCCCGCCCCCAGGGTAAATAGCGGGTTCTATAGCCCTGGGTGTCAACTTTTCTACCGCAGAAAAAAAAATGGCTACCTACTGCATGAAAAAAAAATCTGCCTCATCAATTACGTATCGAAAGATACATGATCGCCTAAGCGTTTATCACGCATGGCCCATAACTGACTGATATTCACTTACATGCTAATACCCTTGGGAAAGATATGAATCCTCTTCTTCTTCCCCGGCTATGGGTAAATAGCAGGACAGACCAGGTTCTTGAATGGCAACTGGTCTACCGCAGAAAGAAATGGCAAACTAGTTCGGGAAAAAAAATCTGCCTCGTCGGTCATGTATCAAAAGATATATGATCGCCTAAGCGTGTATCACGCATAGCATATAACTAACTGAATATGGGCAACTCGGCGTGGTGTAATGGTTAGCAAGCTTGTCTTTCTAGGTCAGTTACTACTGAAAAGTGAGTTCGATCCTCACTGGATGCCCCTTACTTTCGTCCTTGTGCCACACCAAAGCTTCGCTTGGAAAATCTTTGGGCACCTCGACGTTGTGTAATGATTAGAAAGCTTGTCTTGCTAGATCAATTACGACTGAATAGTGAGTTTGATCCTCACTGGGTGCCCCATACTTTCGGCCTTGTGCAACATCTAAGCCGGTCTTAGAAATTCACTATAACTAACTGAATATAATGCTTTATCCGATAAAGGATTATCAAAATATAGAATAGCTGAAAACGGACAGCAGAAAAAATTCTGAAGTGAATGCCATTAATGGCTGCCCTTTTCACAGAAAACCCCGTAATTAATTTTCGCCATGTTCTGTAGCTTTTGCTATTAAAACCTTAAACAAATCTCCACTTTTAAAGTTTATCAAGTTACAAGTCATTCCTTGCCCCAGTTAACCACTGATCAGTTACCAGTTTTACTTTGGTAAGATTGCAACTGAGAGAAAATGGGGCACATACATGAATATCTAGTGGGATAAAATATAAAAAGATGGTAAATTTAATAAAATATGGCAACAAAGATGAGGACAATAGTCCGAATAATGTAAATAGCGTACATAATACCTCATCTCAGAAATATAGACAGATACTGAAGGATAGGATAAATATGGCAACAAAGATGAGGACAATAGTCCGAATAATGTAAATAGTGTACATAATACCTCATCTCAGAAATATAGACAGATACTGAAGGATAGGATAAATATTGCAACAAAGATGAGGACAATAGTCCGAATAATGTAAATAGTCTACATAATACCTCATCTCAGAAATATAGACAGATACTGAAGGATCGGATAAATATGGCAACAAAGATGAGGACAATAGTCCGAATAATGTAAATAGTGTACATAATACCTCATCTCAGAAATATAGACAGATACTGAAGGATAGGATAAATATTGCAACAAAGATGAGGACAATAGTCCGAATAATGTAAATAGTGTACATAATACCTCATCTCAGAAATATAGACAGATACTGAAGGATCGGATAAATATGGCAAAAAAGATGAGAACAATAATTTAATTTAAAAGTTAAATGCGAATGTCAGTGAGTCACTATGTCACACTTTTTCAACTTTACTCCTAGAGGCTGTGATCCTTACCCACAATCCTGAAATTTGGAATTCCCAAGTTTTCATTACTTTATGACTTTTAAATATCTCATATTCTTCTATATAATAAATGCAAATGTCAGTGTGTCACACTTTTTCAACTTTACTCCTAGAGGCTGTAGCCCAACATATCCATTTTCCATTTTGGAATCAGGCTGACTCTGTGAGCAAAATAAAACTATTGCGAGCTGGATCTAGACCCGCAATCCTGAAATTTTGGATTCCAAAGTTTTCTTTACTGCGATTGTTTTCGGCATTTTTTTACGTCACTTTTTGCGACAATTTTTTTTTTTTTTTTGTACGATAACAATTTTTATAACTTGGAAATAAATTTGCGAATAATCGAAATTAATTGTGGAATCCAGCGAAAGTCACTGATGAAATAAAAATAATTCTTTGTACAGAAAGTAAGGACCTACGTACATCAAATTGTCTTTAAATTAAGAGGTGACAGAAAAATTATCGCTGAACTGTTAAAAGGTAAGCTTAAATATTCATGCAATACTTAAATGCAATGATCAGTTTTGAGTTCTTTAGTTTAATATGTTGCCTATTGCATTTACTTCTCCTTACCTATGATGAAGGCACGATCAAGAGCCCTTCGCAGGAGCTAGCTTAAATGCCGCCCGATAGGGCGTCTTTTAAGCTGGTTATCAAGAAATACACTTTTTTTTTTTTTTTTAAATTAAGGATTTTATAACTTAGAAAAAAAAAAATGGAAATAAGAAAATTTAATTGCAAAATCAAGTGAAAGGCACCCATGAAATAAAAATAAATGTGTGTACAGAAAGTAAGGACCTACGTACATCAGATTGTCTTTAAATTAAGTGGCGAGAGAAGAATGACAGTTGAACTGTTAAAAGGTAAGCTTAAATATTGATGCAATACTTAAATACAGGGATCAGTTTTGAGCTCTCTAGTTTATTGTTGCCTATCGCATCTGCTGACTGCGTATTGTGATGAAGGCCCGATCAAGAGCCCTCTGCAGGTGCTAGTTTAAATGCCGTACGATATGGCGGCTTTTAAGCTAGTGTATGTGTATATATCAACTTCGCCTGTGTCAGACACATTGTCCTTTTATCGGTCTATCTCTTTGTCTATCTGTCTAACACTCACTTTCACACATTCCCGTGTTGGATGATATTCAGGTTTGTATTCTCGGGTTTATCTCCTGCAGCCCTGAGAGAAGTGCATCTATGGTGAATTTTAAAATCTCTCTTCCTGTTTCTTAAAAAATGCCTTTCGGCAGTTTTTTTTTTTTTTTTTTCGTTTTCGTCTGATAGTTTTCTTTTAGTTTCTTTTTATTTATTTTTTTGTTTTTCAGTGTTTTGGTTTTTTTTTTTGTTTTGTTTTTGTCTTCACCCCCCCCCCACACACACCCATCTCACGTATTGTTAGTATAAAGATACCTCTTTTCTTAATCCCCTTCTGTTTTTCTTTCGCTATCATCCTCATTTGCGTCCACTTCCATTCCTCTTCCTCCTCCTCCATCACTACTCCTCCTCCACCTCCTCCGCCTTCTTCTTCTTTGTTACCCTAGTTTTCACATACTCCGCCTTCTTCTTCGGGTTCTCCTCCGCCCCTCTTCCTCTGATACGCCCTCCCCCTTCATCTTATTGATCCTTTTCGACTTCACAGCTTTCTTCACTTTTCACTCTATCTCTCTCTCCTCCAACTCCCGTCTACTTTTAATCTTCCTCCTCCTTTTCCTTCTCACTGAAATCCCAAGTCATTTATTTTATACTAATATTCACCCAATACACGACCCAAGAGCCACTCAAGGTAGAGAGTTACTCTGTGGTGTTGTACGAGTGTAAGAAATGGTAACGTGTGAAGATAATAGGGCCATGCAAGAAAATACTAATTCGCTTTTGATTCTCCTGTTCTTCTTCTT